ACAAACACATACGTCGTGACTATCCATGATTTGAGTAGTAATATCACCCAACAGAGAGATTATTTCATACATCTCCCTTCCCTCAAATCTATCACCAATGTAGGATCTACACGACAATCTACATACGTCATGCATGATGACCCCTCTGCTTTAAAATGAAACAATACTGTTAATTTAGAACAAACCATTTAATTTAGAAGAGAACGACATGTTTCCAATAATTCTGACACTTGGACTTGCAGATTAATTTCTGTTAAAACATACCATTTCAGATTGTGAAAAATTATATATCAGTATGGAAATATATTTCATGATTTACCTCATTAAAAGCATTGTCATGTGGGAGTTTGTGTTCTCTGACCCTTTACATTTCGCATTTACATTCTTATATTCCTTGGTTTTGAACTAGATATAATAAGCACTTGATTTTCAGATTAGCACACAGGAAAAAAGGAACTGCAACAACTAAAAAAAATCAAAACACTGGAAAACTAAAATATGTATTTTGATGTCATGACACATAGCCTACCACAATAACCGACACAACTCAAGTTATGATTTCAACAAAACACATGTGCTCCCCCATTCAAAAAATGATGGTAACCAAAATTTTATCATAGCCAGATTAGGTGCAGGGATTTGTGTGTTAAAAATTAACGGATAGACATGAAACATATATGTAATTTTTGGTAGTCGTGGGTTCTAAATTCTTGCACACTGAATTCTAATACTTATGTACGTCTCGGAGGGTGGGGCGGTGTGGCTTCAAATGCTCCAAAACAAAATCACCAGATTCATTCCATGCATATTATGCACAGCTAGCTGGGTGCCCCTAAACAAACCCAAGATGCCAATACGATACCAAGATACCATCGTCATATGGACATAATGTATATGCTGATCTTGTTACGACTGTACAGTCATTGGACAAGGGGCGCATGTCTCGACGACACACAATTTTGTATGCAAAAATTGTCAATCCCAACATGGGCGATCTACGCTATGCATTCCTAGCAGCTGCCCAATGACGAAGAAGTAACCTGCATGCATTTTATTGGAATCATCGATGAGACATATGGCAAACTATGTGAAACTTTGTAAGCGCCATATGTATGCACACATGACATGTATATATAAGCTCCATGCGTACCTAAAAGCGCAGCCACACGGCAGCTGGAGTAGTTCTTCTTCTTCCTCCTCTGATCTTCCACTTTGATCCTCTACATATAGTTAGCATGTCTTTTTGCGCATAGTTACTCATCAAAATATAACTGGGAAAGACATGGTGGACCCCGAGAAGACGACGTCGTGGCCGGAGTGATGGATCAAAGTCCACCCGGTGGGTGCGACCGTGCCACCGTACCGGACAGCAACAACAGGCATGTCCTCGTCTTCGTCAACCTGGATGCCAATCACCACCGTCGTGCATACGCTAGTCGTCGGCTAGCTAGCCTGCCATGCATGAATGTTTAAGTAGATGTGTGTTTATGTTTATGCCATGATGTATGTGAGGCTCCCAACCGAGCAGTGCGAGTGGCTGTCATATCGACCACCATGCATGTGTGGACAAAGTATGGGATGGATGTATGGCGGTCGATGTCACACTCGCTCGCATTATTCGGTTGCGAGCCTTGGATATATCTTGGAAATAAACATAAGCAGACAGTGTATTAATTGATGAGTATAGCTCCATTTATTGTTATTATTTTTACCGTCGATCGACTGATGATTAATGTAATGATATATACATGGGATGGAAACAATGAAAAGTGTGTCTCCATGCATCTTACTATAGTACAATAAGATATACCTTAAATTATTCTCTTTGTTTACAAGATAGAGGAACCATATGAAACACCGCCACTTTTCTTTCATGCCATGTTTTGATACGCAAGAGTGACTACTACTCTGGCTTTAGAAAGCAAAGACATAATAAGGGGTGTACTAACAAGATACAACAAGCCACAGTTTCACAGTTTCTTTTGTTGCAATCATTAATCCATCTTCTCCTCATAAATAAAATAAAAGGGAAAATCCTATGAGTAGTGCCCTTTGGATGGTAGGATTTGGTGTAAAAGAAATTCATAAGATAAGAATGTTTCCTCTAGATTTTGAACGAATTCTACCAAGGGATCTAACCTCGATCTTGTTTTCAATTCCGTTGGAAGTCCCAGTGCTGCTTCTCTCTTTCTCTTTCTTTTATCTGGCACTAGGCTTGATTGGTCAACTAATATCAGGAAATATTTCCTGACAACTAATCGATAGGAAAAGAACACTTTCGCTGATGAGTGGGGTCATGTCACTTGTGTTTCTGACTGTTTGTCGTCATAAATCTATTGTTTACTAGTTTTAGCCATAGGGACCGTTCCTCTCTCTCTCTGGTAGTGAGGATTCAACAAGTTGGGCGACTCTCCAACTATTGTGTTTCTCCTATTTCTGCATTAATATAAAAATCTTATGTTACAAATGAGCCTTAGACAGCACATTCATGTGCTCTGTTTCTCCAATATGGGAAGTTTCCGAGCAATTGATAAGCATTACATCTCCAGTAATGATCTATACACATGTTTTTATCTTGATCTGACCACGTATAAAAAAATCATGATTTTTTTTGTGCAAAACAGCCTATCACTGCTGATTATAGCCATAAACCGGCAATATCACTGTCGGTTACTTAACGGTAGTGATTGTCTATTATGTGATTGTGAAGTTTTTGTAAGGAACCGCTACTTACTCTATGAAGTATTTCTGGAGGCTTTTTTTTTTGTGAAAAAGGCAATTTTGTTAAGGAGCTGCCTATGGAAATCCACATAATAAGTACTTCTCTTCCTTCTCGCTCAGTTTCAAACAAAGCTCCACATGCACAGTTTCAAAACGTCTCATTTCATTAGGATTGCATTTGTATGGCTATCATCACTCTTTCGACAAGTATGCATGAGTACGTACGTACTGCTGGTATGATCCAGCAGGCCATGCTGTATATTCTGCCACACCCTCTTGTCGGTTGCTCACCTGGGCATCTTGTTTAATCCTGGTGCGTACTAGTATGTATATTCCATGGATTAGTATCTTGTTTACTCTTCGGCTGGCAAGCTGGCCAGCAAAGAAGACCAGTTCAAAACGTTATTAATTACGTCTTCATTACTCTGTCCATTTCAAATTATCACTATCACTACTATGTAAACCGCCATCACCGCCAGTTTTGCAAGTCAGTGGTCATAGTAGGCAGTGATATGAATCAGCATTACTGTCGGTTTGTAACTGCTGTTCAAAACCAAACAAATAGAAAAACATGGTCACACCCATTGCTGACTATGTACACCCACTGCCATATCTCCGTCGCCGCTCGCTGACCATGCACCACCGCTGAGCTGCATATTATCATTGGAGCCTGGCAGATCTGGACCGCAGGCACCATTCATGCGCAGATCTAGCCAAGCCAGCACCTCCACGCCTCGCTAGCATGTGCCACGCCCTAGGCTACCTGGATTTGCCTTGCCTGGCCGTAGAGGAGGGGTCGGCGGTGTGGAAGAGGAGGGGGTGGCAGTGGGTGAGTGCGTAGCGCCGAGGAGGAGGGGCCAGTGGTGGCTGCGGAGGAGGAGGAGGGCCCGGCATTTGGGGAGGAGAGGATGAGGCGGCACCGCCAGTAGTGGTGGAGGAGGGGACAGCGGTGGGGAAGGAGTACGAGGTGTGTGGGCAAGTAGAGGGAGGAGAGGGCAGTAGCAATGGTTACAACCGTGTGGGAGGAGGAGGGATGCGAGTAGGGGGATTGAGGAGGGGGGGCAGAGGAGAGCGAGAGCCAGGAGAGAGAGAGAGAGAGAGAGAGAGAGAGGGGGGGGGTGGTTGGGTTAGGGTTTGTTGAATATATATTTGGAATAGGTTTTACCACCGGTTCAAGCCACAAACTGGCGGTGAAAATAATTTCTCCGGTGGTGAAAATGTATCACCGATGGTTTTATTAATTAGAACCGACAATAAAAATAGTGTTGACAAAAATATTTTATATAGTACAGTATAGGCCACTTTAGTTTTATTCTTAGCCAAGCTTTTGGCTAAGTTTTATAGAAAATACAGCAATCTACAATATCAGTTTTTAATTAAATTCTAATGAAATATGCCTTGATAATGTATTCGTTACATTTTCTAGTTTTACTTAGAGAAGTTCGAGCAGTTTTACTTAGGAAAGTCTTGATCATAATTAGAGAAATTTTATACTTAAAAAAAGCAAAATATATTGATCTATAGTTTAGAATAGTTGGAGTATTTTAAGACGATAGAACCCAAATTAAAAGCCTTATATAAGAAGAGGGAGTTGAAATGTTCCGAGCTTCATTTGTCACAGCTCTAACTCTGAGACCAACATACGATTTGAAGTTTGTATAATAAAATAAATAAACTGGTCTAAAGTTATACATGATCAAGAAAAAATATAAAAATAAAATTACTCAACTAAATTTCTTCACTTAACTCCATCGTTAAGACTTTTTTGAGTTGGCGAGCTCCAGAAAATCTTGAAGCTGGACACTACCAAACAAGCCCATGTGCCAGCTGCAGCAGTACTGTACAACACTAGTTTGCATTGTGTGCATGAGATATAACTTATGATTCAGAGAGCAAGGGGCTTGTCTTGGCTTAATTTAGTCACTAGTCAGTACTTGCTCTTACTGATGCTAGTTTTCGAACATTGGTTGTTGCAAAGGACAGTGTTTATCCGGCTGTGTTGTGAGTTGTCACTTCTCTGGAAATAAATCCGAATAGCTAATAAGGAAACGCCAACAGATCGGGGTGACAATACCGAGGCTCTTGTTTGTGCCCAATAATCATCGATGCATGCACGTTCAGCTACGGTAATCCTATAAATGCCATCCCGAGCGATGAGAGATTCTTGTATCCAACTTCCTCATTAGTACTTTGCTAGTAGGAACAAAGTGCGCGCAGCTAGCACTTGTGTTCTGAATCAGTAGAGGATTGATCGCCTGAAGGAGGAGGAAAGGGAGAGAATGAGCAGCCAGAAGACGTCGTGGCCGGAGGTGGTGGGGTGGCCGGCGGCCCAGGCGGTGACGCAGATCAGCAGCGACAGGCCCGACGTGGCCATCGAGGTGGTCCCGGACGGCACCAACGTGGCGCCTGGGTACAACGCCCTCCGTGTCCGCGTCTACTTCGACACCAGCGGAGCCGTCCTTTACACGCCCGTCGTTGGTTAGAGAGTTCTCGCCGGCGCCATATGCGATATGATAGAAGCATGGACTTCTTAGTTTGCATGCGTGTGTCGTCTTTTCGATCGTGAGCTCTTCGTTTAAAAAGAAATTACATAGTGGATTTGGTTTTAGTTGCGTGTCTTAGTGGTTTAATTTGTATACGTCGTCGTGTTCACGCATGCATGCAGTGCAAAGCGCATGTATGCTAGTTGAATAATATAGTATTGTTGTTTCAATGGCTGTCATTTTACGTGTAAGTAGCAAATATATCCGTGCTGTCGTAAAGGAAAGTAAAGCTTGTTACATGATTATACATGGACGATTTGTAGCTTAGAAATTTATTCAACGATCACGGCAATGTGTTTTGATCCGTCTTGGATTCAGACTTTGTACTGTATTGGACACGCGTTGTTCTAACTTATGAGGTCGGGTTGTGAGTCCGGGTAATAAATGGGATATGGAGGGACGTGAGGGTGCTGTAGAAAAAAAAAAGACTATAGAAAAAGTCACTTCCCTCTCTTTCGTATTAGGTATAAATAAAAAATAGAATTAAAGACAAATTACCTACTATTGTCATTATGCAGAAATTAGCCTATAAATACCCTTATATCATTTCTCTATTATCAACGCATGCCATTATTATTTACGTTTGTACGTCTAGGTAAGTGAATCTTCACCTTGGAATCAAAGGACACTATCATAGTCCTGAGTTACCTTGAGTGCTTAAAACTGCCAAGAAAATGATCCTTGGCCAACCATCAAACAAACTCTGTCAAGGATAGAGGAGAAGGGAAATTGCTTTTCTTGATGGTTTTGGCACTTAAGAATGATTTCCTTAGAGGCTGGCTGCCAAGAAAACTAGGACACACTTAATTTGCGAATGTGACAAAATATGTTCCAACCGCCAAGTAAATTAGTATCTTTTGAGGGCCAGCAACCTTCAAGGCATTATAGAGCAAGAGCAAAAAAACATAAATCAACCAAAGCCCTTTCTCGTGCGCCACTTGGGAATCGAACCTATGACCTGAGGGCTGAATTCATTTTTCTTTTTTATTAACTTTATTGAATCTTGTAATGAATATTTGAGATCCTAAATGGGTTTCAAATTTAAAAAGTTTTAACTGAAATGTTTTAGGTCTCGTCAAATACTACAACTTTGGTTTAGGACCAATCTCCATCGGAGTTCTTTTGCAAAAATCAAAATTTTGAAATTTGAAGCTTTGAGAATTTCCTTGGGGTTCCAATTACACTCAAGTAAATCTGAATTACCTTGGCAGTTTCAAATAGCACCCAAAGACATATGAATTACCTTGGATTTTGAATAGCACCGAGGAAATGTGTAGTTACTTTGACGGTTTGTAATAACACTCGAGGAAACATGAAATTACTATACCTTGGCGGTTTGGACTAGCACTCAAGAAAATGAAAAATTATTTTGGCGGTGTGGACTAGCACTCAAGAATATATCCATTTCTTTGGAGGTTTACATCCGCAGCAAAGAATACTACGGCCCCGTTCACTTGGAGGAATTTGAGGAATCTGGATGAATCTGGAGGGATTTGTGAGAGGAAAACACTGTTCCGGAATAAAAAAAGAAGCGGATCAAGCCGGGTTAAGGGCACGCGAACGGGTAATTCCAGATTCTGGCAGTTGGGAGAACCATAATTGCGATGCAAACTATCTTTTGATATGTATGTCCATACTCCCTCCATCCCAAAATCTATATCCGTAAAGGAGCGATGGAATTAGAAAATGCCTGTCACTTGAAACCATCTTACTCACCTTATATCACCTCCCTTGGATGTACATCTAACGCATCTGATTAATTGGTTAGCTATGGGCCCAGAGCGTTCCTTGACGTCCTGACATATGAAAAGCGTGTTTCCCTCAACAAACGCTCGACTCCGGCCAAAGTTTTTTTTCACCGGAAAGTTTGTTACCCGCCCGCACGTACCCGCGTCCAAGACTCCGAGTATCCACGACTCACCGCGCCGCCAGCCGCCGCCCTTCATCGCTGTGTCGCTCCTCGGTCCCTGCCCACGACAACTGCCGCGCTTCCTCGCTGTGTTGCCGGAACGTACGACCTCGCGCACGGGAAAACCGGCGGGCGGACGCGACCTCGCGCACGGGAACCCGGCGGCCGGACGCGCCTGCCGGCACGGATGAGGACGACGGCGTTGTTCTCAATCAGGAACCGCGGGCCAGCGCGAGCTCCGGCGCTTCGACGAGGTGAGTTGCATCTACCCTGCCTTTTCGGTTCTTCCATTGCCCCCAGCGTGGGTGCTTTCTCTCCCCTCCCTCTCCTCGTGGAGGGACGTCACCGCTGCAGGCTGCAGGCCACGAGCACGGTGGCGCGGGACGTTGCCGCTGCTGTCCAGTCGCGGAGGAGCCACAGCGGTCGCCGGACGCGAGGCTGGATGTCACCGCTGCTGGCCGGTCGTGGAGGAGCCGCGACGTTCGTGCCGAACGGCAGGAAGGAGGTGACCGCCGGCGATGTGCAGTGCAGCACCCTCACACCACCCGTCAGCTCCTAGAGAAATTGCTTGCAAGTTTTGTGCTCATTCTTGTCTCCTCTTTTGATTTCCATCCACAAGTTCCTGCTTCAAAATTCCTATTTTCCCCACATCTCATCCAATCACAACACCATAAACTGAATTTATCGATGAACGGATCTCGATTCAGAACTAAAGTGTGCTACTGTTAGTAGGTCTATTTTATGCAGAATCCGTGTCCTCAAGATCACGATCAGAAAAGTGTGCAACTATTATTCAGACTTGGCATTGCACTTCCATCCAGGGCTGAGTAAATTAGTTGAGCAAGTTTTTAGAGTTTACATGATGTAATTGTAATGTATTTAGCGTTGTGTAAAGATTTCTCTTGTGTTCTGCCAATCCAGACATTAACTTATTTATTGTTGGACCCCGGATCTTCCGCATGGGTGAGTCGACCGCTCTCCGGCGTTGCGGACCATACTATGGCTAGAGATAGAAGAAGGGAGAGAGAATAGAACACACACAGACACAACACAAGCACAAGTGTTGGCCGGAGCTCTGCAGAGGAGATAGTAAAACTGAACTCGCTCACTTTACTGAGTTACAGTGGCGAGCTATATATACAACTCTACCTATCTAATCCTCGTACACAGACATACCAGACTGCTACAATGACTAGATGTGACAGCAAGACTGACTTTGACGCTTGCCCCTGCTGTGGCTACAGTGCGGCAGGGGAGTCTTTTAGTGCCTGCCCCTGGTGCAGCAGGGGAGCCCTTTCGACGCCTGTCCTTGCTGCGCGTTTAGACATGGAAGAGTAGCAGATTACTATACAATTTTTTCCCTAATCCTGCTGCAAAACCCTATAACCTCCACCATGCCGATCATCTTCTTCATCTCCGTGAACCGAAGACAGCCAAGCGGCTTGGTGAGGATGTCTGCAAGCTGCCGACCAGTTTCGACGAACTCGATAACGATCTACCCTCCATCAACACAGTCCCTAAGGAAGTGGAACTTGAGGTTGATGTGCTTGCTCCAGTCATGGAGAACCTTATTCTTCACGAGGGCGATGGCGGGCTAGTTGTCCACCATCAGTGCTGGTGGGTGAGCTTCCACACCGGTCAGCTTGTCCAGCAGCCAGCAGAGCCACACAGCTTGGCACGCCGCTGTGGCTGCCGCCATGTACTCTGTCTCGCACATGGACAGCGTCACAACCTTCTGTTTCAGCGACAGCCATGAGATTGGAGCCGACCCAAAAAAGACGATCACGCCAGATGTGCTCCACCGTCAGTCGATGTCCCTCGCCATGTCGGCATCGTTGAACACAGTGAGCTGCAGCCCACTACCACCGATCTTAGGAAAGACGATTCACCGAGGCCCAGTGATCCTCACGGGGATCCTCCATGAAGCGGCTGACGTAGCCCACGGTAAATGCAATGTCCGGCCTCATGTGGACTAGGTAGCGCAGCCACCGATGATGCTCCGTTAGAGTATTGCATCTACCTTCGCCGCGGTACTGGCCTTCATCAACTTTAGCCGCTCCTCCATCGAGTCACGCACGACTTGCACTCAGCCATGCCGCTCCGCTCCAACAGCTTCGAGCGTACGCGCTCTGACCGAACGTGAGTGCCTCCTTCCCCTATCTCACCTCGATGCCGAGGTAGTAGGAGAGTGCACCGAGATCGCTCATTCAAAAACGAGCCGCCATCTCGCGCTTGAAGCTATCGATGTCCTCTACACGCGCGTCGGTGATGATCAAGTCGTCCACATACACGCCGACGACGAGCACCTCCTTCCCCTGTCACCGCGTGTAGAGCACGTTCTCAGTTGCGCACCATGTGAACCCAAGCTCGTCCAGCGTGGCATCAAGCTTGGCGTTCCACGCTCGCGGGGCCTGTCGCAGCCCGTAGAGCGCCTTGCGCAGTCAGAGCACCCTGTGCTCCGCTCCCTTGATGGGGAAACCCAGAGGTTGCCTGACGAAGACCGTCTCCACCAGCTCGCCATTGAGGAAGGACGATTTTACATCCAGATAATGGACACGCTAGCCTTCGCTGCTGCCAAAGCCAGCAGCCGTCGGAAAGACTCCATGCGCGATACCGGCGCAAAGACTTCCTTAAAGTTGATGCCCTCGCGCTGGATAAAGCCTCGGGCGACGAGGCGTGCCTTGTGCTTGACAATGGCGCCGCGCTCGTCCTGCTTGACCTTGTACACCCACTGTAGGTGTGGCAGAACCGCCTGAAATAGCGTACTTACGGAAGAGCTCGTCTTTCATCAGACACTAAGCACCCCGAAAGCAAGCTACAGCAAGCGGTGTCCGTCGGGCACACCCCAAGGGAGAATCCAAAAGATCCACATTTTTCCCAAGGATCCAATAATGAGAACGAGTTATAATACCAGTCCATTTCATACATCAGAGTTTCTTAAGAAGTACATTATTATAATACCAAATACCAGAGTGCGGAATGATAAACAGCGGAATTTAAAAATATACATCTAGCGATAGGGACGAGGATC